TTCACATGTTTTTTCAATCGGATATAGAGCGGCACCAATCACGCGAAGTACGCATTGGTCTCATGGATTTCATGTTGATTATCACCCTCTTCAGCATAATTCTTCGCGACTTCGATGTGGCATTCCGCGCAGGATTTAGTTTGTCCATGTTGACAGTTAAGTTGAGGATTCAGCTGTCGCGCTCCTAGAATTCTTCGAGCAATGCCAACGATGATGAGCAAAAGAATCATTTTTGCTTTAACATTGAATAACTCGATGAAACAAAATCGTACCAAGCTTCGTAAAAAAGCAAATTAAAGATAAAGATTCGCTCTTTCAAATGATGTAAATCGCATTTGTGTATAATTTTTAGTCCACTTCATGGAACTCCACAAATTTAGTAAAAAATTTTGAGATCTGATATATCTTCATTTATGATTATGTAACTTCATAAAATCTTCATGAGACCGTTTTTTAAAGTAACGATCTGAAAAGTAAAGGTTTCAAGCTGTAAAATACTTTTTTAAATATCTCAATACGATTTTTGATGAAGTTATTCTATTTTGAAATTTGCCTATTTTTGCAGAGTGAAACAGATGTTGCGTTAATTTTGTTGGCCAGTGTGTATATATATATATATATATTTTTTTTTTTTTCATATTAATGTGGAAGATTATGTAATAGCGCCAGCTATGATTCGATAGAAGAGGTGTTGCTATCTAGTACAGAGTCTCGATGTAGGGTGGAGCGGGGCTAGTTGGGATATTTTTTTAATTGTTATAAATCTTCATACAATTGTGGTAGACCAATGGTAAATGCTTTAAAACGTTGCATGTTCATCTGATTCAATTAAGTATTTATAAATTCTTAATATATATCTCATAAATAAGAAAATATATTACATTAATTACAAGGATGCAATGTGTCCTAATTATGGGGCATGTTGAACATCTTCGAAGGATAAGTTAAACCATGAGGATAATCATTTAATGAAGTTATATATTATTAAAAACATGAAAGGATTATGTGTATATTAATCCAATTTTTATTATTTTCATCTTAAGTATAATAATTTGTAATAATCTTTTTTTTTAAATACTTTAACTCACAAAATTAGAAAAATTAAAATTTTTTTTGCTCTTTATAATAACAATTAAACATAAAATATTAGGTGTTGGAATTAATTCGTAGCGTTTTTTAATGAAAGAATGTTATTTATTTCACATGAGCATTAAAAAATACATTAATGAAAGTACTTCCCATCACTTGTAAAACGCTACGAATTAATTCCAACACCTAATATGTTTAATCGTTAACATAGAATAAAAAACATTGATAAAACAGATTTTATTTAAGCAGTTGAGTTTATGAGGTTAGTTATGAGATATTAGCCCAACAAGCTACATATTGATGTTGACTGAAATATTTTTTTATAACTGAAAAACAGTAAATAAAATATTAACTTGAACATTATAGTTAAAAAATACGTTAATAACTTATATCTAAACAATACATTTTATTTTTATTAGTTGCTTTAATTACGTAGACAAAAAAAATACTCACCTAATAAATTTTACTTTTAATGTAGTAATACAAAAAAGCACATGCATTTGGCTGTTGACAACTGTACATAAATTATTGTATTAAGCGCAGTGACATGTGTCTTTGTGCTATCTTAGCATAGATGTGTCTATATTCATACGTATATTTTGGATATTTAGATATTTACATTTGCCCAACTTGCCCCTATACTCAAACAACCCCGCTCTACTCTATTCCTTCGCAGTGGTGTTTCATGCACAAATGGAATCTATTAGTTCACACTATTATTGACCTGATTTTTCTTCTAGAAACGGCACTCTTACTCTAACGGCAATAATAAACGTTTGAGAGATAGTTAAGGAATTGGTAACAATTACAATCTTGATAAAGATGTTTAAGCAACAGGAAATGGCATAAGTGGAAAGTGGAGAAGAATAAGTATTGATGCTAATGATTGTAATGCTGAAAAGAAAACAGATTAAAATAACATATTAAATCACACTTCAGATGATATTGTAAAATAGTGCGTTACGAAAAAAAATAAAATAAAATAAATGTATAAATAGATTTAATCGATGTTTGAAATTTATTCGTTTATTCCTTCCTCTCTCTTTCTCAGCGCTATCAAAAATTACGCGCGCCGACGGCATCATCGCGTGTCGACCGCATCATCACATTCGACTGTACTATTGCGCATGTATCATTAAAAGTCTATTGGTAAAACTGTGGTTGTATTATTAAGTTATGGTTATAAATAAAAATTAAATTAAATAAAAAATTTTAAATAAATGAATAAATGAATAAATAAAGTATTATTGTTTATGTGAATCAAAAGTTGCAAAAAAGGAATTGCAAAGGGAAACAAAAAGATGGTAGGTATTAATAGTGCGCGCTATAAATATAAATGATTTAATTACAAATGGAAAAAAATTAATTTAATAATAGGGCATATAAGAGTCAATAACAATTTAAATTACATATTAAAAAACAAAATATTACATGTTTCGATTTTTGAATTAGATCCTCTTCAGATATTTATTTAATATAAAGTGTACATGTTACCATGATTTAATAATGTTGATTGTGAAAAAAATACATCATAATCGCATGTCGTGTGAACAATTGAACGTTAAACAGAGGAATCGAAATTGCTCGCCAAATGGTTGGAAGGCCAATTGAACAGAATTTTATGACGTTCTAATAAAATTATAAATTTCATTAATTAACATCAAATAAAAAGCAAGCAAATACGTCATTTCGGTAGAACACTCATCAATATATCAAAAAAAAAAAATAGAATTCGATAATAGGATATTCGTTAACTTTCTACTAGTCAGTGTAGTAATAAATAATATATAATGTTAGTTATAATGTAAAATCTACAGAGTCATAAGTTATATAAAATTGTATTCTTCGATAAATAATTATTAAATAAAATATGAAGATGTAGAAACAGTCCAGGAATAAAATAAGAAATGTATAACAGTCACTGTTGTGACTGACATTGACTAACAAAAAAGTACTTAAACTAATGTGATCTCAACAATGCAAAGTTAGATATTGTTTACAATAAGAATGTATGCTTTA